ACAACTGTGTATGAGGCTAATTTTGGTTGCACTGTAGAAAATGAATCAGTAGTGTTGGACAGTACTCTCTACAGTCTCTGTTCAGAGTGGTAGCATCTTGAGTAGCTAAGCGAGATTTGGTGAAGCTGCTATTGGGGATCAAGTCCAGTGAAGCTTTCTGAAATATCTTGGCACATGTGCTATGGAGTCTGATTAGGTCATCACGCTAATTAGGATTAAGTGACCATAGAAAAACTTTGCTCCGTAAACAGTCACTATTCTACTATTCATTATCCATATGGAGGATGACAAATGTGCTGTGATGACAGAATTTGTGAATAGGGCAGACAAAGACAAATAAAATAGTAATGATGATATCACAGGAAGGAAAACAGCTTGGAGGAGTTCCCATCACCATATCTTCCCCATGCCCCATGTGGGTCACATCATCAGGCTAATTACTCCAGTAATTACTGTGCTAATGCTGCAAAGGCCTTGAGGCTGCACTCGTGTATCCTGTTTCAAGTGAGGCTGCTGGAAGTTAGGTAGTCATAAAGAATAGTGGAGCTCTCAACCTGCTGTTCAACATCCGTCATCCTTGGACTTTCAGTACATGAGTCTGAGAGGTTTATACTATAAAAAAGCAATGACATTTCCATGATAATGCTCAACAGGACACTCCAAACCTGGACCCTTAGCTGGTATTATATTATACTGGTAGGACACTACCAACAACCACTTCACCTTTAAATGACTGCAATCAGAGAATGAAGTGGTTGTGCACACCAAGGCCTTCCACTGCACCACCCTGCTGTATGCAACAGCATCACACTGCTCTCACTAATAATATTAATAGGGGTGAATTAGCATGTTATGATTATATTATTTCAAATTTTTACAGCCCTTTGGTAACTTGAGTGCTTTATTATCAAGTCAAGACTTCAGCTAGATCCTCAGTTCAGAATAGGCTCTTCAGCTTTCGTTTAAGCAGAAGCACACCAACTGTAAAAGGTCCAATAGTTTTGATATTAATACTAAATCAAGTAGCCATATTATCCTGGTCTAATTTACATTCTGTGGACAGTGGGAGAGTAGGTGTTCTCTTTCTGGTTCTGTTTTGTCTAAGTGAAGACACTTTAAGGGTTGTTTCATTTAGTTTAGACTTGTAAATCTTCTCATTCACTTCAGCTGAGCTACTTTACGTCTGCTTAACACTGAAGCAGACAACAAAGTTCCTTTCCGGAGATGGGAGAACCTTAGAGAAGGACAACCATCAGCACAGTGCTCCAACATTTCAACAAGACAATGACCCAAAGCATACCACCAAGAAAACACAGGATTGGATTTGTGAAAATGCAGAATAGTTATGCAGCAACACTCCCCATCCAGCCTGGTTGACCTTGAATGATTCTGCCAAGAAGAATGGAAGAAAATTCCAAAAGAAAGGTGCCAGGCTTCATTCTCTTGAGGCTGTTGTTGTTGCCAAAGGTGATTTAACTAAGTACTAAGTGAAGGGTCTGAATACTTACGTATGTAAATGGCATATTTCAGTCTTTTATTTTTGATTAATTTTCAAAACACTCAAACATTTTCAACACAAAATGTGGAAACCTTGAAAGGCCCAGAAAATTTCTGTGCTGACTGTATCAGATGGTGCCTTAGCCAGTGAAAACAAATGGAAAGCCCAACGGTTCACTGCCAAACTATACATTGCATCCAAACTGAGGTTTAGGCTGTTGCACAAAAGTTGTGCCAACACATGAGAAATAACTGTTGTCAAGCACAGATCCAATTTCGAACTGTAAAGATGCATCACTTTTTTTCTGTAATTCCCAAGACAACAGGGGAAGATCTTTCTAAACAAGGACAAAATGCATTCTGTATTCTTGGATTTAGGAGTCATTTAAGGTATTTTGTGAGCAGATCATGAGACAGGGTAGGTGCCACTTAAAAATTCTAAAGCAACTGCTTTGCGGAAGCCTTTGTGCTTCTGTTACAAAGTCAAATGTGCTGATTTACAAACAGATCAGGTGCTAAAACAGACCTCAGACGTGACAGTGCTGTTTCACTTCTAAGGTCTATAGTAAAACCTCAGCAATGTCACTGCAGTATCTGATATTTGTGTGTACACAAGATGGCTTTCTGGCTCTCTTTCATGTGTGTGATGTGTGTGTTTATGAATGATTATGTGTGAGCACACTCTGTTCCTTCTTCCTGGCATCATTAATGATCCCAAAGAGAGACAGGGCTTTAACCACGGGGAACGGTGACATATTTCTTAAACCAATCCAGACAACCCTGAGCCTTCTGACCAAAGTGATATGCTGAAACTCATTTGCCTCATTGGACAAACCGCAGCGTGTCCTGCCAGCACCGTGTGAAGAAGCCTGCGTATGTGTGAGTATGTATCTATGTACATGATCAGTTCAAAATTTGTCTTGTGGTGCTTTCTGTGGGCTCCCAGCGAATCAGGAAACTGTGACAAACAAATAGTTAAGTTTTTTAGTTTATGAATAAATTGAAGCAATACTGACTCCACATGCTTCATTTAATAAAGAAACCTTGTGAGTCACCTTGTAAACAGGGAGTGTGTCAGGCTGAATCAGCATGAACAAAGCATTATGTACTTACAGCCACTCAATGAATGCAAATGACAGGGTCTGTAGTATGACTGTGGTTACTCAGACCCTCAGCTTGCTCCTGTTCCACATACTGTACATATTTACAGAGGTAATGCGATTTTTATAGCACAAATAAATCCAATGTGATTAAACAAAATTATGATTAAATTATGGTTGATGAAAACAATCAACTTGGTCCCTGAAATGTATAATTGTAACGAAGGTACGTGGCGATCCTTAAAGTATAATTTGACATCCTAAGATGCTTCCAAGAGCACTGAGGGGAATTTAGATCAATGAATTCCGGAGAAAGAGGAACTCGATTTGAAGTCAGTGATGTTCAGCACGGGAAACAGTGCTGTCTGGATTTATCTGAAACTTAAGTCATCTCAGTGCACAGTTTAAATACACAAAGAACACAAACACAAAAATAACCCCCTCTAATCCTTCAGAATTCATATCTACGCAGGTCTAGCTATGTGAAAATGCATTATTATTTGTTATCAGCAGCATTATTAAGTCTAATTCAATCAATATTTTTCCATGATTCCCAATTTGAAAATTCAAGTATGGACAGATGAAGTTGCTGTTGATGTTCCACCGAACAAGACACTTAAAGCCCCCGCCCCTGCCAAGCACTAGCAAGCTGAAAATGTAACTACACAGGCTCTATCACCTGGAAAAAGGAGTAAAGAAAGGTTAAGCACTTGCAAAGTCTCAAGCTGCTTCTGTTCTGAGGAGTAAATTTGGAAGGACATGCTATCTTTACCTAAAATATAACTTCACTGTATTGTCTGCTGCTGAGAGTTGTGACCTTGAACACAGAAGATATGCAACACTCTGAGTGTGGTAGTTAAGAGGGAGAAATTGCTGGGCACGACACAATGCTGTTAGGGTAGATACTTATCTTTCAAAGCCATACAAACACATACAATCCCTTTTTCTTTTTACTTTTCTGTGCACAAAATCACCTAGGCACTTTATCTCTCTGTCATTGCCCATATATAAATACATCATACTTGTCCACACACAATGCAGACTCACAAACTGTGGCACATTTCCACCCTAAATCTGAACTTGGGAAGAACTAGTTATTGTAACTGACTAATCCTCCTCCTTTTGAGTCTTTGTAATATTCAGTAGATGTGTATTTAACACACACCGGCACTTCTTCAGTATAACTCAGTGTGTACTGCTGTATCATTGCTCTGATACTGAGGTATTGCTGGCATTGCTGTGTCACTGCTTTGATGCCTGGCACACACAACTGCTGTTTATGCGAGCCAGCAGCCTAACAACCTGCAGTTGTTTTTCTCACTGTAATTCTCATAATGCAAGCGGCGCTCCAGAGAGCGTGTAAGTACTGAGCAACAGCGAGCCACCCTAAATTTATTCTTCTCACATCCAACACACCCGGGCTGCCACTTGGGTTTTTGTCCAGACGAAAAAAAATAGTGTGACTGACTGAGACAGACAAAACAAGCATAAATGAATTGTACATAAAAAAAAAAAAACACCTCTATTGCACTGTGCTACTGCAAGACTAGACTGCGTAAAATCTCACCCCAAAACAGGTCATCAGATCCAGTGCTGTCCCCATTTCAAGTCAAGATGATGAAACTGTGACAAACGTTTGTATCATGCACTTGTTTCCTTTCTTTGCACTTCAGTTATGGATCTGCAGGTCGGACTTTGGCCTCCGATTGTACCCACAAAGTGCCCCGACTCCAGCCAGAAAGGTTTGATTCAAGGGCCCACAAGATGTGTCAAGGACAACACGAGGAGAAATAAAAAGCCTTTTCTCTAACATTCCATTTTAAGACCAGACGGTTCTCTCAACTACTTGTGTCTGAAGATTAGGTCTATAAAAAAGATATTAAAAAAAGTCTTTCTTTTTCTACAACTATATCAGTAGTCATCCCTGTACTAGCTTCATACAGGCCACACTTCAGAAAATATCCATCTACATCCAGTAGCATACTGTATGGGAAAAAAACCTTAACATATACCTTAAGGTCTCCCAGCAGACTAAACACAGGTGTCCCATTGCACCTGTGATACTGGAGAGTCAATTACAAGGCTCAGGCTGGCAATGAGGTATCCAGTTACCTGATCCAGTGACCAAAGACAATACAGACATCTTCAAACTTTAATCTATATTCACCAAGCTTGCCACCCACGTTTGGCATCACTGCACCCCAGATACTGTATCTAATGAAACACGCACTGAACTGAAATTATACATAAATATCCAAAGACATTAAAATAAAACATGGTTTTTAATCTGAATGAACAGTTACAATTTACAGAGTTAGATAAATTACAGAGAAAGAGGTCAGGGCCCAACAGTTTTAAAAACCAGAAACTCTCAGCTTTCATCTCTCAAAGTTGCCGCCTTGACTGACATTTTACTCTTTAACTCTTCGGAATCAAAGCAATAATGATCCTTTGTAATTACACCCTTTAATAGTAGTGGTGCTTATGACATAAATTTAATCTAGTGCTTTCTCTCTCTGTTCATTTTCTCTTTCACCTGAGCACAACAGGCACACACACAGACACACTGTTGTTGTTAATTTTTATCTGAGTAGCTGTCAAAATGAAATCAGAACAGTCTCTTTAAGAGACCCTTGGGACCCTATAGGGCTGGTAAAGGCCATTCCAAACTGTTAAAAAGACTTAAAGAGATTGTCAGAGGTTCACAGAGGAAGAGGGTCATGCTGTTTTCATTTAAGAGCTGCTGTGAAGTTCTGCATGATGGCACTTCCTCACAATGAGCAAATAAACTTGAGCCATATTTTACCAAATGCCATAAACCCAACACTCCTGTCCAAGCCAAAGTCAAGGGTGACATTGTGAAATTGTGTGTCTAAAATATGCACATGTGTTGGCTCTGGTTCTGGGATGTATGAAAACAGAGATGAGGAAAACAACATAGCTGTGTGTACACAGTGAGGAAAACAGCAAACGAGCTCAGACTTACAAACTTCCTCTTCAGCTTGCTCTTATTGCCACAGGTCGGCTTGTCCTCGAATGCAGTCCCTGAGCCGTAGTCTGAACCAATGTCCAGGTTGTCATCTGCTGAGACGCTCTTGCGGAGGTAGGCAGCTCGCGCCTGGAAGTGGGAAAAGGGCGACTGGGGACGAGGGTGGGCCTCGGTGCAGCCACCATGCTCAGGCTCATCTTCCCCCTCCATGTCATCCTCCAAACGCCACAGTTCCTCTATTAGAGAAACAAAAAAAATTAATGATGGAGTTAGAGTGCAAACAAGAGAAAGAGAAGGGAAAGACAAGAGATCTATGAAAACAAGACAGGTTGTACAGTATTTGTTTCTACAAAGCAATTATTGCAAACTGACTCCACAAATTATGAACTGTCATCCACTGATTACTAATATAAAATGTTTCCTGAATATAATCAGCTTCTTTTTAAGGCAAAACATTTTACACTCAAATATTATTCTCAACCTGCCTTCTTAACTACTTGATTACAATTCCACAAATATAATGGCTCATGTAAAATCAAGAGGAAGGAACAAATCTGCAGTGACAGTGATGGTCTTCTCAAGCTTCCGCAGTCACACAAAAGAGATGGATGTGTGCTGTCACAGCGTAGCTCAGCTGCGCTAATAAGCTTCGTCACTCTGCATTGGATATTTGCCAGACATCCTGTCTGTATTCTGTAGTACTGCATGTACACATATGTCACATCTGTCCATCCTGGAATAGGGATCCCTCCTCTGCTGCTCTTTCTTAGGTTTCACCCATTTTCTTTCCCATTAAAGGTTTTTTGGGCTATTTTTCATTACTTTTATCAAGTGTATACACACGAACGGTTGATTTGCTGTGGCGACTTCTAACGGGAACAGCCAAAAGTAGTAGTAGTAGTAATAGTTTCATTACTTTTTACATTAGCTGTTTGCCTCGACCGGTTGGGGCAAGTGGTTAGAGGAGAGAGAAAGAAAAGAAAAGCAACAAGGCACAACAAGCAAACAAACACTGGGCAGGTTGATGTGGCAGGTGACCGCTCATCATAAACGTAGAGCTCTAGAGCCAGGTTAACCTGCAGAAAGGTAAGAGAGAGAGAGAGAGAGCGAGAGAGAGAGGACACACTGCAGGAGAGAGGAGACACAAATTTAATGACAAGTAATGGTGGCATATAGATGCATGGAAAGAGGAGAGGAGAGGAGAGGAGAGGCCCCCAGCAGCCTAGGCCTATAGCAGCATATCTAAGGGAAGGCTCAGGGTCACTATAAGTTTTATCAAAAAGAAAAGTCTTAAGTTAAATCTTAAAGGTAGAAAGGGTCTCTTCCTCCCATTCTGCTTCTGTGGACTGTAGGAACCACAAGCAGACCTGTACTCTGAGAGCAAGGTGCTGTTGGGACGATAAGGCGCTATGAGGTCTTTAAGATACAATGGAGCCTTGAGCTTAAGAGTTTTGTGACAGCAGCTTTATAGCAATGATGCCACAACAGTAAGAAAAACAAAAATATTACAGACTTAAATTTAGTTGTTATATAGTATAAGTACTTTTATTTATTAAATGATTTGACAATCAATTTGGGACTGACATCAGGTTACAGTTGGTTCACACAGTGGAGTTACCACAGAGGAACAAAAAAAAGATTTTGCCCTCCTGAGAAAATGTGTCAAGCCAGCAACAGATCTTAGACCCCACCAATTTGCTGAAGTTACTAAGTTTATATTAAGCCTACAGACTGCCTTGTAATGGCATTCTTTGTTAAAATATTTCAACAGCAGGTCTCATGGTTCTAGTGACTGTGAGCCTGTGAATGATCCTTAGAGTGTGAAAAATGAACAGTACCAGTTCCACTGTCTGAACAGCAGCCAAAACACATCTGGCTTGAAAAACAGTGCAACAAAATGATTGGGGAGCAACTGAGCTCTGAGGCTTACTTGTCACTAATATGAGAAATTGCTTAAATCTGTAAATGAAGTGTAGCTAGGTTATGAAAACTTGAATTTAAAACAAAAAGTTGTCTCAGCACGCCTGTGGAGATATAGTGGGAGAGAAGGTAACAGGGAGAGGCAGCATCGTGGTCGATGACAGTGGTTGCTAGGCAACAAGGGGACACGTGAGACTCAAGTCTCTCTCAATTTGATATTTGCAACAGCGCAGCAGTAGGGCGAGGGAAACAGGCAGAGACAGACAGTCAGACGGGTAAATGAAGGACATAAAATGTAAACACTTGAGCTAAATAAACCAATCACAGAGGATGATGATGTTAGGTCCCTTCTGGAGCCTTAAATGGCCTCAAGTGGCTAATCCAGGAACTGAAGGTTTTGGCACTTGGGCATTGGCTACATCACTCAGCATCAAAGGTTACTGCTTGGTAGTACAGTACCTTGTGTTTTCTCTATAAAATATGTCTTTTTGATGTGTATAAATCAAATTATTATTCAAAGGTCTACTGTAGGGTTTATTTTCACAAAAGTTTTTCCCAACCTATTGATGTTTTCACCCTTAACAAAAAAACTCATCTGTCCTTAGGATGAAAGCTCTCTCTCTCAGCAGCTTACAGCTTCAGGATTCTCCATGACTGTTTTTCCTTTCTGGTGAAGGGATGGTGTTTGATTTAGAAGTGAGAGAAAGAGAGAACCTATCTTTCTTGTTCAAGCCCTGCTGAGACAGCGAGTTGCTTTTTGTGCTCCATCAGGTGAAGCAAATATCAAAGCAAAGCATTCATGGAAGAGTGAAAGAAAAAGGAAATGGAACATATTTGATACACCTAAGTAGACTTTATTTTAAGGTCTAGAAGTGTTTATCCTCTTGTATCACTACTACAAGACTAATAGCCAACCATCTGGCTTTTGGGAGCATTTACTCAGGCTTTATAAAAATTAGATTAGTGATTTGTTAGAGATATTATCTGAGCAAAAGAATAACTAAACCAACAAATGAGATGAAAGAATCACACAGGTGCAGTCAATTGTACAAAGTTGCCTGGTGCTGTTTTGGTAAAAACAAAGTACTGACCACAGAGATCATACTGAAGCTGACCAGCTGTCAGCCTTACCTGCAGGTGGCAGAGTGCAGGCTTTTGGGTGGCTGGGTGCAGGGTCCGGGTTCTTCCTGCGAGGTGGACTCCCGCCAAAAAGATCAGAGTGATGGGCCCTGGAGACAGTTGGTGACTGGGGGATGCTGGGTAGGGTGCGGGACTTAGCCAGTAGGGGTCTCTGCAGCTTTCTTTCCAGTGACCTGGTTAGACAGCACAACAGTCAAATTCATTGAATGTTTTATTTCTATTGATTATATTCTATTGAGAGCAGACGTCTTTACTGCTCCTCTTGTCTGTTCTACGATTTTTCACATCTTCTACATTTTCAAGTCTTTGAACAAATTCTACAACTATTAAAATGCCTCCAAGAGGAAAAAGAGCTAATAAATCAGAAGCGAACGAGGATGTTGAAGCAGAAGAGGATTATATTTCAGCGGCGCAAGTAACAGAGATGTTGAGTCAGCAGAAGCAGATGTACACCGCACTGTTGAGCCAACAACAAGACAACTTCAAAGGTTTTGTGCAACTACTTATGGAGACAAATAACAAGAGACTCGACGACATGACCAGAGAAATACAGGAGATAAAAACGAGTTTGCAGTTTACCCAGCGAGATGTGGATGTGATTAAAGCAGCCATGGGTGAACAGAAAATACAAACCAAGGAAACAAAGGATGATGTCTACAAAACTTGCGAAAGTTTAATAGCCATAATGGATAAAATGGAGCATTTGGAAGTACAGTCAAAGTGGAAAAAACCTGATCTTTGAGGGAATCAAGGAGTCAGCTGGAGAAAGCTG